GATGGCTCGATGACGGCGTTAGTCCCCCTTCCTTCATTAAGTGCTATCGCCTTCGTAGCGCCAAGTGAAGTTCAACTTATGGAGCAGTTCGATCGTGCCCGGTCTCTCTTCAACGTTATCCTATTCACTTTCCTGCTGTTATTCTCTCTACGGTGACCAACCACTACTTATTCAACCTGCTCTTCACCGACCACGAGTCGATGCAATAGCATACTGTATAGAGTATAGCTGAACTTCACTCTACTCTACTTTATAACCCACATTGTTAAACAAAGTTATTCCTTTCTCATTTTTTTGAGGGATCTGGCGTTGAGCCTCTCGCAATCACTGGAGTCAGCATTGTACGCTCAAGGGCGATAGCTCCCCTAGGCCCGTAATGCCCGGCAACAGATTCACAGTGTGAATCTGCATGCGTGTGAATCTCACACGCATACCAATACCCTCAGCAACCCCTCTATGTATCGGAACGATGATAATGATATCCAGGCCGACACAAGCGGCGGCGTACTACTATTCATGTCTTGTCCTGCTAGTATCATTGGTATTCAATGATCATCATCAGTTGTGTTTTTTCAAGTCGGTTGTCCTAATGACTTGGCGGACAAGCAGCAGGCCGAGATCATCAGCAACAGCATCAGCAACAGCATCAGAGCCATCGAAAGAGGGTGAGCTCTATGATGTTGCTGAGCATACCGCCGATACCACACCACACCCATCATTACAGCCTTCTCCACAACTTGATGTCGATAGTCATGATAGGGATACGAACAACAGCAGCAGTGATAGTTGCAGCATCTCCTCGATGGGTATAGAACCATTCGAACTCGGGATCGCCGATGACACGAGAAAGCCTATGGACGTCCATCACGGCTGCTCAACCATAGTGCTGTTGCCGGATGCTTACTCTAGTGTTATCATGGATTGTGATAATATCAACGATAATGGTGAGTGTGGTGGTGATGGAGGATCGCCTGATATTGATACTGTGGAGGAGGGACAAGACAGGGGACGAGGGGTTGTTGGGGATGACATGATAAAAAATGATGATGAGGATGGTGGAGTGTTATGGAGTTTGAAGCACAACCTCATGAATAAGTATTAGTCGGGGGCATCTTCTAAGCGTGTTGATGGTCATGCACACTACTTCATTCAGAGGATTATCATGGTCTGATCGTTTGCTCCATACAACCGAAGCGGCATTGGATGTAACAGAGAGGGCAGTGGGGTTCATCTTGTCCGATGATAAACCTAGTGCTATTGCAACGTCAAGCACTGTAGAGGTGGAAGAGGGAAACGATGAAGTATCAGGGAAGCAGACTCTACCAGGAAGAGAAGGGTAGTGCTGAATCACTGCCATCACATTATGGGTTATACTGACTCTGTAATTTAGAGAAGTTGTAGAGAAGGAAGAAGAGGAGTATTCGCTATCAGAACCGGCACTAAGTGTCGAGGAGCTTACTTCCAGTGACGAGGATGGTCGGCCTAGGTAATGGGTAACTCCTGATGATACTACTACTACTACTATCATTTGACTATCCCTACAGGTTTATGAGTGCATCATCGAGCGTATTATCATCACCAGCATTATCCTCTACCGCCTGTGTGATGATACCCTCTCTATCGGGGCCACCACCAACCCTCCTGCCTGGCCAGAAAGTAGTATTGTATATGTTATTGGTTGTGGTAGCGAGGAGGTGGTATTATTCAGATGCACGAGGAAAATGACGAGTGTGTTCTGGAAGAAGCATTGCGGAGTATGAAACGCATACGTCTCGGCACTGACAGCAATAATGCGGAGGATAGACAGCATGATGATGATGATGATTTGGCGGCCTTCATGGCGCGCCAACAGCTACTGCAGGTCATAACTACCACAGCCTAGCAGCAGGGTTTGATTATGATGATGGTGATTGGTATTTCAGGATGAGGCAGATGCTATGAGTACGATATCTACGGCATCCTCAATGAAGCGAGGACGAGCATCAGTTCCTATATCGGGTTACTCTCATGCTCATCATCATGTGTCTAATAATCATCTCTGTCGTAGACAACGATGGATAAGGGTTCGTGATAGAGTACAACAGGTGTCATCGAGTATATATTGTGCTAGTTGGTCCCAAGTCAAACAAGGCTCATTGAGAGCTACTGGCTGTGTAGCTGGTATGGCAGCACAAAAGGTCCGCTCAATGGTGGTGAGGGGAGTACCGGTATCATCATCATCATTACTGTCATCTGCCTCTCCTGCGGATAACAGCATATTGCCACTTGCCACAGGAGAAGAGAGAGGAGGAGTACTAGCATTACAGTGTGGTGACAATGTACAGTACACTGAGCAATACTGTTCGTGATGGTGACGATAGCAAGAGCTCATAAGCATAGCGTATTGCGCCCTATCGGCTTCCCGACTGTTGCCTCCCATAGCCTCTCATCACCATAGAGTCCATTGTTGAGAGTACTATTGATAGATTTATTACAGCGCTCCAGATGGCCCGTTATTGCTAATAAAGTGTGTGTGCTACCGCAGTGTATAAGCAGCTATCCTTATCTGCTGGAGTAGTACTACTGTAGAATTACTACAGTAATTTGCTGAACCGTAAACCTATTGCGTACGGTTAAGTACTTTTCTCTCGTCTACTGCCCTCAATGTGGGCGTGGCATGATAACTGAGTGGTTATCAGCCCTTATTTAAATGATAATTATCATCATCATCATCCTCATCGTTGATGTCGTGGTTGTCGTCGTTGTCATGACGAAGCGGAGATCTCGTTTATGATGATCATCAACCTTCTCATCCTTCTCTATTTCAATTACATCATCTATAATTCGACCAAGATTTGTTTTTAGTCCCACTTTCTGTTCACTGCTGCTTCTCCACCAAAGGCAGACAAAGACTGTTCGCCTCGAAGTGTGGTAGGCAAGTTCGCATTCCGAGTACTGTGAGTATGCCTATGACTGTGGTATCACAGGTGATGCATGCCAGTTGGTCGGCGTGGACTTGATAGCTGGCAAGGTGTGCTGAAATCATGCTTCAACTGTCCTCATCTCACTACTCTAGGTAGACGAGCCATCAGTGGTGCTAGCTGCAGTCGTTGTATGTCTCAAGACTGTTATTCAATATCATGATGACTTCTTCGATAGTGCTATTT